CCTTGATTGCTAGAATATAACTATCTTTAAAGGATTTTCATTATGTTTTCTCATACCATATATAGTTGTAATCAAAATTATTCAACCCCTATTGAAAATAAGGTTTATTGTCAAAACTTGCAGACTTTCAGCTGTTTGCAATGAACTAATCAAACAAAAGCAATTGGGGGTATAATTTGGCGACTGGCATCCATTAACATGTTGCAAGAGTCATTTGTACAGACGCACTGCCGCTGGGCGCAAATACCGCAAGGTGAAGAGGAATATGTTACATTAACAGAGAGAAGCAGGGAATGGAGAGGTAATTGAGGCAGAATCTCCAACAGCCGGATTAGCATGCTATATATTTAGGGGGAACATGGGTGGGCGGGAGGGAAATGGTAACATGTGGATACATATGATAGAAGAGTTAGATGGGGGATGTCATATAAAAATGTGGAAGTGGGACAGGAAACTAATATCAACATTTAGTCATTTATTCTTGCTGTTAAACAAATGTAACAATTTTGGCTTCAAACATTTTTCTCTTTTTGTGTATTTCTAAAATCCCCTTTGAGCACTTTCACTTTTAGGTCCTTGATTGAATTGCCAGATTTGGTAAAATGATGTCCCATGGGAGTGCAGTAAGATTCTTCCTTATGTTGTTTAATGGAGCTTAACGGAGTGTCTGTCCATATTCATTCTGCCATTTAATTGCTGGGTGGTTTCCCTAATGTAGCACCCTAGGAAGGAAGGTTCTCTCTAAAGCTTATCATTCCAAAATTCTGTTCAATATATATTTTTTTTAAAAGGTATTACAAGACACTACTTAAATCTGTTATTTTACATCTGCATTAATGGACTAATAGGGCTACAATAGCAATTTTTTTTGTGAGATCTAAAAGGTAAGTTTAGAAAAAATCATTACAAAATAAAATGTAGCTTAAAGAGTATTGTAAGGAAAGACTACTACGTGCAGCCCCATCTAATTTTTTTTATAGCGCAGTTATGCATTTTTGAAGTTGATCTGAAACTGTGTAAAGACTGTAATTAAACCATTAGTGATTATTCTCTATATGAATCTCACCATTTTGCTCAGCTTTCCAAATTGAAATTAACCCATTAAAATTAACATTTAGGTTGATGTAAATGTAATTATATTGAAGTTAATTACAAGTTCTAGAGGCCTTTTTATAATTATGTACATGTATGATTTATGAATGGCAGTCTCTTTATGTTTATTGTTTGCATTATTTTCGTATTTATATTTTTTGCCAGAATATATATCAGCTGCAATACTTTTTTTTAAAATGTATTTTCTTTTTTTGTTTTTTTGCCAATCTTTCTTTTATTTCAGTTTTGAAAATTAACATTGACAACAATCTCATCAGGAAAGCATTGTAACCAAGTTTGTCACAGTACGCACAACATTTGTTACTAATTCATGACAAGCGATTTAACATTAAAACATGCAAACGAGTCATATCTATTTATGTATAAGTTGGTAGACCTTAAATAAGCACGGGACCCTAGTTCGTCTCAATGGCCTCCCTCTTTTGTCGTACTAGGATTGCACTTTAGCGCTGTAGATAAGTGTGTGCCTACCTCCTTTTTTAGCTCATGTCTTCCAGTCTTTGCATCTTGCCTAACTGTACTCCAGTAGGTGGTCTGAGGTTGGAATTTCCCTTCATGTATGCATGACTTTATTAGGATGACAGCCCGTGGTGTCGCTGAGATTGGAATCCTTGTGAGTTGTCCCTAATTTATGTTTGTGTGTGACCTACCATTTTAGGGATTCCGTCGTATTATGGCCTTTTCTCACTTTGTCTGGTCCGTTGCAAGGTGTTGGTGTCAGTCGTATTCAGGGCCGTTGCGTTGGTGGGCATTTTGCTGGGTCTCAGTGTCCCATGACCTATTATGCCTCCTTGTAGTAGCTCTATTGCCCCTCTTTTCTGGCTAGGTTGTAGTTTCTGTCCCGCCCGATCTCTGTTTCTTTGTCTTTGACCCTTCAGGATCTGCATCTTGAGTGGTCTGTGCCGGATGTGGTGTGTATTTTGTGTGTATGATGGTTAGGGAGAGATTAGAAGAAAGCGAGTGTGTGAGTGTATCCGGTTCATGAGTGGTCCGGGTGTGAGGAAGAGAAGGAATCGGGTAAGAGATAAGGGTTATAGGGTTGGGGGATGGGGTAATGAAGGTTCCCCACGACTTCGCACTCTCTATATAGGCCCATCCCACATCCCTCAGGGTCCCCTCGGCCATGTGTGTGTCCGAGTCTCATTTGGGTATCCCGGCCATGTCGTTGCGGAGGTCCTGTCATTTCTGTGGGGCCCATGTAGAGGCTCCTTTTTCTTGGTTCTCAGGCCGTTCTTCCTGAGATATATTCAAGCCATGGTGTCCACGTCTGTAAGTAGCATTCCGTTGTTCTCCTCAAGGAGGCTGTAAGCTACTCCATGCCGTGGATCTCTTCTACCTTCTCCATCCACTGTTGCAGCGTGGGGACTTGTTTGGTCCACCAGCGAAGCGGAATAAGTAGTTTGGCTGCATTTAGGAGTTGTTTTGTGAGTGATTAGGGTGAGAGAGGCATGTCAGTGTGATGGAGGAGCATTTGCAGTGGCTGGAGAGGTAGGTCCGAGTCAGTGATGTTTTTTATCTGCGCGTGGATTTGTTTCCAGTAAGGGGCAATGTGTTTGCAGGACCACCAAATGTGGAGGTCTGTGCCCACCTCTGTCTCACATCTCCAACATACATCTGTGACTTCCGTTAGTATGTGAATCTTATCCCACTGAGGGTCGGTGAGTGTGGTTCCCGTTGCTTCCTCCCACCTCGCCAAATGTTTTGGAGGTGCTTGTTGCGTAGAGGTTTGTAGCAGTGCATAAATGGTTGATATTCCTCTGTGTAGTGGTCTCCGTGCCGTGCATGTTTTCTCAAATTCTGTCATGGGTCTGTGGAACAGGCGGCGACCCATATGCGATTGGTAATAGGACTTGACTTGGAAGTATCTGAATCTATCTAAGCCCTGCGGGACCCTTTCCTGCATTAGCTCTGGTAGTGGTTTCATTGAGTCCGCTGAACACCACTGTTGCATGTATGTCCACTCCTCCTCCGTAATGCACTGATGTCTTGAGGTTTGACGCCCCCCGCCACCTTGGGGTTGTGTGTTATCAGCGTTAGTGGACCTGGTGTGGTGGTTAGTGAGAGCTTGGTCCGTACCGAATACCAAACCTTCAGCGTTGCTCCGATAAGCGGATGGTTCCTGGCACATTCTCCTCCTTGATGGTCGTCTAGCCATACCGCTGCCGGGAGTGTTCCTTCCATTTGTGTTTTCTCCATGGTTATCCATGATTTCCCAGCTCTAGGGGTATGCCAGTCGACTATATGCTGTAAATGTGTGGCTCTATGGTAATCCCGTATGGATAGTAATAAACCGAGTAATTGCCATGTCGATTTCGCAGAAAAAGGTCACGGGGAGGTGGATCGGGATGGTTTGAAACAAATACAGTAGGCGAGGAAGAAGATTAATTTTAATTGCATTTAGTCTCCCAAACCACGTGACACACAAGCCCGCCCAACGAGCAAGGTCACTTTTCAGAATTTGTGCCATTGGAGCAAAGTTATGGGCATAGAGCTGGGATAGGTCCGTGGGGAGCCAAATTCCAAGGTATTTAAGCCTGGTTTGGCACCATGTGAAAGCGAACTGCGTTCGCAAGTGGGCAGTGGTATCCTTGCTCAGTGTTATGGGGAGTGCCTCCGATTTGTCCGTGTTCAGCTTTAAATTCGATAACTGTCCATATTCCTTGAAGGCCTTCAGAAGGTTTGGGAGTGAGACCAACGGGTTGCTGATGAAAAATAGCATGTCATCCACATACGCGGCCACCTTATGTACTTCTCCCTGTAAGGCGAAGCCCCCTATTCCCCCGTCCCGTCTGACTGCCCCCCAGGAAAGGTTCCATGGAGAGGGCACCCCTGTCGCGTGCCATTGTGGATGAGGACCGGTGCGGAGAGAGCTCCGTTAATTCTGACCCTGGCGGTAGGTGTCGTGTACAGTGAAGAGATCCAGGTCAACAGACGAGGGCCAAATCCCATGGCGTGTAGCATTGCCTTCATAAATCGCCAGTTCACATGGCCAAAAGACTTCTCCACATCTGAGGACAGGAGAAAGATCTTCTGTATCGTTTGTTTTGCCGCGTGGATGACATTCAGTGCACGTGTAGTATTATCCCTCGCTTCCCGTTCTGGGATAAAACCCACTTGGTCAGGGTGTACTAATTCCGGCAGGACTCCTCTCATGCACGTTGCTATGATCTTCGTGAACAGCTTCAGGTCCGTATTCAATAATGAAATCGGCCTGTAGCTCGCGCAGTTGGATGGATCTTTGCCATCTTTAGGGATAACTGTTATCGTCGCCATGTGTGAGTCTCTCGGAAATGATCCTCCTTCCAGTATTGAATTGAGGGCCTATAGGAGCCTTGGTAAGAGCATGTCACCGAACTCCTTCAGGTATCGCACCGGCAGGCCGTTCGGGCCAGGCGCTTTGTTCAGTTTTGAGCTTTTCACATGTTGTTGTAGGTAATCTGTGATCCATCTGTCCTTGCAATGGCCTGCCTCCTCCGACTGCTCCGTAGGGAGGTTGTAGAGGTCTTCATAGAACCCCCTGAATGTCTCCGTAATTTTCTCGGTCAGTTGCGTCACCTGTTGATCTTTAGACTTGAATTTTGTGATGTAGCACATTCTCCTTTTTTTTTTTGTAATGTCCTGGCCAGCAATCAACCGCACTTACCCAAGTATTCATAGAAGAAGCGTTGGGATTTTCAGATCGTATATTGTAGCTTTTGGTGGAGAATGTCTCGCAACTTCTTTCTGTTCTCCAACAACTCTTTGTAGCTATCATCCGATTGTGTGGCCTTATGTAGTCCCTCGAGGTCTATGATAAGTTTAAGCAGTTCGTCCGTGCGTCGTTGCTGCTCCTTCTTTCGTCTTATGCACAATTTTATAAGGTGGCCCCGGACAGCACATTTATGTGCCTACCATATCGTCAAAGTGGGCACTTCAGGGGTGTCGTTCTCCTCAAAATATGTGACTAGTACCGCGCGGATGTCCGCAGCCGTGGGGCCATCGTTAAGAATTGTTTTGTTCATCCTCCATTGACGGTCTCTGGGTTGGAATAATGGGGACTTAATGCTTGCTAAGATGGGGGAGTGGTCCGACCAACCCTGCGTACCGATCCCCGCATCGAGGAGTAGAGGCAAGAACTCCTGAGCTAGGAATATATAGTCCAGACTACTGTAGTGCTTGTGTACCGTGGAGAAGTAGGAGTAGTCCCTACCGGTTGGATGGAGGACCCTCCTGCAGTCCGCTATGCCGGCACCATGCAGTTCTGTCCGGATGGACTGTAGGCAGTGGGTCGATATGGAGCTAGTCCCTCTAGATGTGTCGACTATTGGGTCAAGGGCCACATTCAGGTCTCCCGCTACGATCAGCAGGCCTTCCTGGAACCTTTCTAACGTGCGTAAGGTCCCTCGTAGAAACCTATGCTGTCGGGCATTTGGGACATTGATGCTGGCTAGCATGTAGGTGGTGCCTGCTATAGTACCCTTGAGGAAGAGCAACCGTCCCGTGGCGTCGGCCAGTTTATTTGTACATTCGAACGGTACCGTGTGGGCAAACAATATTGCCACCCCAGCTTTTTTGGCGGTCTGGTGGTCGGCGAAGTATCCCTGGGGGAAACTCGCGTCTTTAAGTGTCGGGGCTGACTCTCCTCGGAAGTGAGTCTCTTGCAAGAATGCGATGGATGTTCTCGCAGCTCCAAGGGAATGCAAGAGATGTGACCTCCGCTCCGACACGTTCAGCCCTCGGACATTGTTTGACCAAAGACTTAGAGGGATGGGATCGAACCTCGAGCTCATGGTCGCTAGGGATGGAGAAAGATAGGGCGGGTGCGGGAAGGTGTAAAGGACGAAGGGGCGGGGGAAAGAGTGTGAATAGTCTGGGTGTGTGTGGGTTTGTGTGTCCTAGTGAAACTGTGGTGACTTTACACCTGTGGTAAAGGTGTCGTGTGGAGAACCTCTAAAGGGCAGTCCCCACCCCCAGTACCAAGTTCACAGTGGTGTTTATCAATGGGGTCTAGTCCTATGGAGCACAAGCACAGGAGCTGGCTTTGTCCGTGTACCTTATCGTAATGTGTACCTAGAGAACTTCTGAAGTGGTACCGTTCATGGACAGAGTGCTACGGGAGGCATAAGGGTACCAGAGCTGTGAACCAAAGTAGTTATCAAGGGGGCTTGAGCTGGCTCTTTGGCAACGTGTGCAGTTTGTCTCGTCTCTAGGGATCGCAGGCTGTGTTTTTTGCTTCCTTTTCTGGTCAGGTCGGGGTTGGGGGGGGCCTCACCCTCTGACAGCTTGTTCAGGGGGGGTTGGTGCATTTACCACAGTTCATGGTCTATTAATCAGGGTGAGTCAGTTTTGTATGCCCTGAATCAAGGTGGAGAGGTGTAGGGTGCTGAACTCTACCGTCTGTTCTATGTAGTCACTCGGGGGCGCTAAAGGGTGGCGGGAGCCACCCCCGTCACAGTTGTGTCTGAATTGCAAGAACGCTGCGGGTGTAGTCCCATGTGTTTGGGGAGGAGGGAGACTTGCAAGAGCATGTAACTTCACTCACCAAATTGTCATTATGGAATTCTTTGTAGAGGGGTAGTTCGTGTGCTGCTTGTGTATATTTCTCCATGGTTCCCCTACCCCACTGTGTTTCCCCTTGGACCCCCTCTGCGGTGTGGGCGTGTGGCCCGTTCTGTAGGTGGGTCCCGCCACCCTTTAGTCTCTCCTTGCTGCAATTGCTTCATCCAGAATCCAGTTGCGCACTCTTACCGGTGGTAGGTTAAGGGTCCTCATAAGGCGTGGGACCTCCTCTGGCCAGCGGGCCGTGATCCACGTATTTCCATGCTTTGCTTGAAGGCTGAAGGGAAAGCCCCAGCGATATGGGATCCTCTTGTCACCGGGCGTAGCGCTCTCCTGGCGTCTAGCGTTAAACTTGATAAATTCTGGTATAGGGATATTTTCCATCTGCGGAACATTATGGACGGCCTGTCCCTAGCAGCAGCCATGATCCTATCCCTTTGGTCCTGTATGGTCATACAGCATATTACGCCTCTGGGACTGCCGTCTCGTCTTGCCGGCCCCAGTGCTCTATGAGCACGGTCCATGCGAATTTCCTTGGGCGCGTCTTCCCCCAGCAACTGCATGAATAGGGCGCACAGAGAGGCATGGGTTCAACCTCCGTTTCGGATTCTGGCAGGCCGCAGATCCAGATATTCTTGCATCTACTTCTATTTTCCAGATCTTCTACCTGTCTGCAGAGGGTGATCAAGAGGTTGCCCTGTCTGGTTACTGCTACCTCCGTTGCCCTGTGTTGGTCCTCACATCCCTGGGTGGCTGTTTCCACTTTGTCCACCCTCTGTTCTAGGGCAGTGAGATCCGACCGCAGGCCCGCCAGCTCTTCTCACAGTGCCGCCCGCAGCTCCTGGGCTATCGAGCTCGTATCTTCCTTTGTCAACATTTTCGTCGAGATCTGGGTGAGCTCTGCCCGTAATCTTGGCCACTCACTCACTTGGGTGCCTGCAACTGAGGATTCTCCCGCACTCTCCAAGCCCGGGGAGGCAGGCGCCATTTTGTCGGCTGGTCGCGACCCTCGCAAGTCCGACGGTGTGGCAATAAACTCATCCATCGGACCGGTATGGCGTTGTGGGGAGTGGGTCCCTGCCGGTCCCAGGGTATTGGGCCTCTTATTCCGGACCATGTCCCTCCCATATTTCGCTATTTATCGCGGTTTATTCGGCCTGGGGTGCGGAGCTAGTTTAGTTTGCGTCCTGCACCATGCTCGTCCAGGCCACACCCCCTAAAATTTATTTTCTAATACCATGATCAAAGTCAGGCTCCTGCTGTAAATTAAGCAACTTTACATCCTCTACATTGAAACAGAGCAATGACCCATTTTTCTTTTCTTTCTCCACCATTCTTTCTTTCCTTTCTGTCTCTCATTGTCTACACCTGAGTTAGAAATCCTATGACTTACAAATCATTTTTTTTTAAATTGTAGATTAAATTTTGTGCATACCCCCAACATTGGCATCTTGTGAACTGGGACATGATGGGTGGTGTAAAAGAGAGCACGACAGTGGCATAAATTGTGTCACTGGCACTGCCCCAAAGGAGAAATGGAGTGGGTCCGCCCACATAAAAGGCAGGCCTGTCTGGCACAAATGCACACCATACTACCAACCAACCATTAAGGCTGGATCCCAAAGGTTTAACCATGTGAGGAACACTCTTTCAGTGCTTTCTGCATGCTCCTATTGCTCGTCTAATGATGAGCTCATATCACACAGTCTGTGGAAAGTTCCCTGGTATCACCTAAAGCAGGACACAAGTGAATAAACCTGGGAAGCCAGACAGATTTTCTGTGTCACAGTAATCACATGCGCTGCACACAACAGAACTCCCAAAAGGTCTGATTTTGGTGGCACTGTCCATATTGCAATAGGGACAGTCTCATCAAAATCAGACCTTTTGGGAGTTCTGTTGTGTGCAGCGCATGTGATTACTGTGACACAGAAAATATATATTGACTTGGTATAGTGGCAACTATATTTTCTGCCCCAAAATAACAGATTTTACTTAATGCCTGGTGCCATATGAAAAAATAAACTTTTACTGTTATAATTTAAAGCAGAACTTCATCTTTAAATGATGTCAAAACATGGATAGATTTATTGATTATCCAACAATACATTGCTACATTTTGCTTTTGTAGTTCTCCAAACCATTAAACTATGTCCTGATCCCTTGCCATACATTTAGTTAGATTTCTCACTGGCAATCCTACTGAAATATTATTTTAAGAATCAATATGTCAGATCTTTAATTAACCTAAATGCATGAACCTTCACCTGGAGTTAAAGATAATCTTCTCCACGGCAATGATTTATTTGACTTAGTTAATTGTAAACGATATACATTAATGATTTACTGTTCTCTGTTAATCTAAGTCTCAATATCATTAGTATGAGTGGAATTAACAATAGTTTGCTCTTTAGTCTCTCTTATTTTAATTTTAAATTTTCACAGATCAATATGATTCAAGTGATGCCTACTCCTCCTTATCTTTTCAAAATAACTACACTGGAAAAAAGAAAGTCCCAAGTGGATAGAAATGTTTCTAAATTTGGCCAATACTAGTTCTGTCAGTAAAAAAAACCCCATTTATTCTAAGTCTTTTGGCTTGCTTATAAGCTGTTTTTATTGGGGAAATAGAAAATAAATCACATTATTACAATTGGTTGCATATATAAATACTTGAATTTATGAAAGTCTGAGCTAACCAAAAAGTGATCAGGGTGTCTTCTTTCCCTACACTATGTACAACAAGAGGTAGGCATACAGAACAAAACCATTGTATGTTCCCCAGATCCTTCAAAAAAATGAGGGGCTTAATAATACAATGAATAATAAAAAAACATAAGTATTAGTAAAATACAACTGTCTGAAAACAAAGAAAATATACCCTCTGTACGAGATGTACATTTTTGTGCATGAAAAGACATGATGCTTATGTAGATATATGCACAACACGTTAGTAAAATGTTTAAGAGTAGATATTCATTGTGATAAATTATTATGCTATGTGTATGTTTTTAAGTATATAAAGTAGCATTACATTGAAGTAAACCCACCAACACCTCTAGTGTGCAATATGCACAATATTTAAAAACAATGTGCACTCCAAGGTCCTTTTATATATGTTTAATTTATTCCGTATAGCAACACCTTATATCAGCATTCTAATCATCCTGGTGTGTATTTTTGTCAAGGTGTACATTGAATTACAAAGAGTGGATATATAACGTGCACATTAATTGCATAATTAGCATGCTTACCAACCGACATTGCTATGTGTGTAGCATCTATACTGATATGGCAGTGTTTATTTGTAAACAAAATTTAACTTGTATAGTAGTTATGAAAATGTTGGATCATTAGCAGGATCCACTGATATAGATCAGTGTTTATTTGCAATTGATGCTATTTCGGGACTCAGGTAGTGGAGCTGCTGCTTTCAGCCACCCTCCTTCAGTTGCCCATTACAGTTACTAGCCCACAGACTATGTCCTATAGTTACCGGTTACAGTTGCCATCCCACAGACTACTTCCATCAGTCACTATTCTATAGTAAACGTATCTAGAATATAAAAGTGCTAAGCAGAAAAATAAATAAATGTGAGGGGGAAGAAATAAAAATGTGTAAAAAAATCTCTACACCACCTCAGAATACCAGAATCCCTATTTTATAGGGTTAAAACATGAAAAGCTGCTACACACCTGTGTGTACCCAACTCCCACACATATAACAGACAATATACTTATACAGGTGGAGCGCAAAATCAATTCCAAACTTTCAGAGAATCCTTGGGATTGCTTCAACTCAGATGTATATATATACAAAGGAATAAAATGCATATAATAGTGAAGCACAGTAACAATAAAGTACTGTCACGTGCGTGGGCTATAGGCCCAGCCGAGACAGTGGGGAGAGTGTGGAAGTGACAGGGTTAATGACACCAGACCCCTGGTTACCTGTTGCTAGTCCCAGCAACCACTCAATTAACCCCTGCAATCCCTTCTACACTAACCCCTTTAGTATACACTTTACTGCCACCACCAAGACTTTTAAACCCGGGTGTCTTAGGTTACCCCACATACAGGAGAATTATAGTATCACAGTTCTACTTTTACTGATAAAACATATATAGTTAACCCTTTTTGGTAACGTGTTTACCTGAGCTTTCCTCTGGAGAGTGAAGCTCATAGAGAACAGAGACACAAGCTGATTAAGTAAACATTTAATCTGACAAAA